TACGAAAACATTTGTTCGTCCATTAAAAGTATCCACCTCCATCTAACTCACACACTGGGGCTGTTTTGGAGGTGGTTCCATCCAAGCATTTTGCTCGTTGGCCGCACACTGCCACGAGTGCAGAACTACCCAAGAGAAACATATATACGTTATGGAATATTTCAGGAGTGAAATGCCAGAATTTTGTAGTTAAAGTGTAGTTAAAGTGTGTTACGCTGCTATTTGATAGGGCTAAGTAGATTTATTCCTTATTTACATTACATTATTCACTCCACATTGTAGTGCTAAACTTATCACATGCATAGAACACTACACTCTCTCGAAGGCAACTAAACATTTGTTGGCCTAGATTGTGACTTTTCAAGTTTGTATTATTTGTGCTCCTGAATTATTTAGTACACATAAAACCCAGTTTTCACACTTGGTTTTCTTAATAGCAGTTGTTGTTCCACCTAATTTATTATGTTATAGCTCACATGTAATATTTTTGTCCTATATGTGGAAAAAAAATGCTTCAATGCGATTAGTCTGTCTGTAAATAGCAGCGTAACAGTATACTACTTTGGATTTTATAAGCCGGCACTATATCAGTATGAAATAATGATTTACTATGAGAATATATTGAAATTATGAAATTACTGCAGTATCACTTATTCAAAATAAAATCGAATGAAATGTGTTTGATAGGTTGGTTCATGATACACTACACTGAATGGATTTCCATTTGTTTGTTGAAATTAATTTTCTTTTGTTTATAGGCATATGAAGGTACATAACTTTAATGATCTCATCACTAGAACACTCATTTTTTTCTCTATCTACTTGTCTTAGATTTGTCTAGATACAGATGTAATTTGGGACGGAGGTAACATTTGGGATTTGAAATAATGTCAGAGGAATAACGGAGGGAAATTCTCCCTTTCAGAGTATTATGCATTTCTACTCATTACATATGATGATCTACTAAAATAATACTACTAATTCTGTAGGGTTCCCTCATCAACATGGGTGGTGGCCCTAAGCGAGGAATAGATTTAGTGGACGAGGCTATAATCGAGTATGACATGAGGATTAAGTGAGGCAGACAAGAAAGACATGATCTACAACTGATCGATGGTGCAACAATCTTAGGCCCCCACGGGACATGGGATAGGCCGTTCACATATGACATCTCTAACGACTGTGGTGGTACAGTTAACATAACTTTAGCACGTCTTTCTTGGGCGGTTGAGGCAACTGTAGAGGTTCTCATCTCGGAAGTGCAGGATGGTTTCAATATGTCTCTTAGATGTTTTACCAGTGGGTTTGATTCTGAGATAAGGCTCTTCAATGGCGCTATTACCGACTCACGTGGATTGAAGCGGTCAGTGGTTGCCGTAATGAAGCGGTCTTACATACGTTTAAAATTCAAGGTAGTTGCACCGTCTTGTCGTTCTAAGTCCCAATATCGTTGTACCTTTAAGGCGAAGACTCACGGGCATAATGCTCGAGAGATAAAGACTGATTTTGCACTGATCTCGGTGAAGGTGACTTGGTCGACATTGCCGGGCAGGTTTCCTGCCTAAAGATTTGCCCGGCCGATACTTGTGTGTAGTCGTGGAGTTTTAACAAAGCTTGGAGGTGTAATCAAACTATTGTAGTAATTGGCCTTTGCATTAGATTCTTCTATCCATTATATTAGCACCAGGGTTTAGGTTGAAAATATGGAGGAATTTCCTAGTTGCACATGAGTGCCTTGGTGGGTTGCAAGTTGCCCATTTCTAGTTCTGACATGTTTCCTTTTTGATTAATATGACTAGCCTTGCCGTCATTATTTTGGCATAGATGGATCGGCTCAACAACAGTTGGTTTAGTGATGATCCCCGCATGAAGCCAGGTCAGGGGGCAGGGATGCAAACGGATGGCTTTCACATGTCCGTAACCGTCTGCGAATAGAAAAATTAAATTAACATGAATACTAAAATAATAAAGATTAGTGCAATTTTTGCTTTGCAGACTATCGTCCCTAGAAGGGGTCAGCAATCTGACGTTGACTCCAGCGGGTTCAAGGAGGTGACGGGCGCCAGGGCTTTATGTCGCCCGTACTGATTCATAATAGGATTCGCCTAAGGGCGACAGTAACGGGCCGATGCATTTTAGCGCGGGTGCTCATTGCGCGGATAGGTGCACTTCGGTCCGACTCATAGGAGACGCTGTAGGGTTCACTCCCTTTGGTTTTCTTCTTTTTTGTCTTATTTGTTTCATTTTTTCTTTGATTTCCCTGTTTTTTCAAGGATTTTCTTCATCTTACTCTGGTTTCTTTGTTTTCTCATTAGTATTTAGAGTTCTCCTTTCTTTCTTCGATATACTTTGGTTTTACTTTTGTTTATTTGTCGGTTTACATTTTTTCAACACACTTCTATTTTTTCCTCAGTACACAATGTACATTTTTAGAGCACATGTGATGCATTTTTGAAACACGTTGACCATTTTTCAGAAAAGTGGTGTACATTTAAAAAAAACATGTTTCAAACACTTTTTCAATACATGGACATTTTTAAAAAATACACATTGAATATTTTTTAAAGGCAATTTTTTTAAAAAAAATATGTGAACATTTTATGTACATTGTATAAACTTTTTAGAAGTTTTCACACGATTTTTTAAAT